AGTGCACCTACAATATTAGTTATTTTGATTTGGATGGAATCCAAAGACATTATCTGAAATTAAGTTTTGTAGTCTAACTTTTGATCGACACACCCAATCATACCTATGAAATCATGTCAATAATATAAAAAGTGCATATTATATTGGTAATTTAACGTTAAAGTAGTTTTATTCATACACTCCATTTCTGAAGCCTGAAATTAACAAGCGTGGTATTTGTTATAAGGCTACATGTCACTCAAACATGTTGTTAATTCTAGTAAAAAAACCTTGACCTAACAGTCTTAAAACAGAATTATTCATACTAAGAAAAAATATTCCAAAGTTTACATGGATGGGCATATCCTTAGAGAAGCTCTCCATGAAGTGTCATCAACCTTGAAAGTATTACCACAGTACAGTAACAACCAGATCAAAATTTAGGTTAAACGATAGAACATGTCATGTTTTATCTCCATTTTTTTTACTTTACTTGTTTGTAGGTTTAATACCGTACCCTTGATTTTGTGTATATATGTGCATGTATTGATGTTTCCGTTTTATGTAGAAAAGTTTTATTTGGCTTAATATCGATATAAATCTAAAGGTTATTCAATCCGAACAAAAAAAACTTCAAAACTAAAAAAGCTGAACGTTTCTCAAATAGTTTTCCACTGATAAAACTGACTTTATTTTATTTGTCTAAAAATCTGGGAAAATTTGATAAGTTCGAAATATGTTACTGGCCATAATATTATATTTTGAGTTGGTTACTGTGTATTAGAGAATGAACTATTAATACATATTGAATGAAATATTAACAGTTTAGTGTAAATACAATCCCTTGGCAAATGAGGACATTGATGGAACCATCCATTTATCTACCACATTCACATGGCTCGCATAGATACGGTAAATTATCTTTTCTATTTATAATATCTGATTTTGATAGATTTGACTATTCAAATGGTGAAATAGTACATTCAGAATTATTAGAAAAGCAAGCTGAAGTTCTCAAAAGAAAAAGAAATTACACACAGTTACCGGTCTCTTCATAATTTTGAATAGCGGCATATCAATATACAGTTTCATAGATTTTTCATTTAATACATAATTTCTCATTAGATTAATGAGGCGACGCTAACAGTACAAAGTGAATCTTTCACCACTCATGCATAGATACTTATTTTTAGAAGTAAGCATTTGTTATAATTTACATTTCATCATAATCTTTTATTCACATCATGTGGTACCAGTTAATAAATAGCTCACAATCACATCTATAAATGAGTGAATATCTAGAAAATCAAATTTCAACATAAGTCTACATTGAATCCAAGTATTAAAACAGCTTAAATAAATTCCAAAAAGGTTAACATAAAAATATTTGAATTCCATTTGTTGTTGGATATTATCAATTTGTATTATCTAAAGATCACAGCTTTCGATAACCTTTTTATTTATACACTATAATTAAGAATAAGAATGGAAACAACAACAAAAAATATCTTGTTTATTCCTTCTATTATATTAAGAAGCAAATAGTAGTTGTATTTCATTATACTATGTTATAATAATAAAGAATTCATGTTTCTCTTTACATACAATACCGTTAATTGACTTTCCTTAGTATTTTTACGTGTATTTCTGGCAGAGATTAAGCTACTTGCCATTAACATTTTTTCTGAGAGATTCTTTTAGTTTAATATGATCTTTAAAACAACATAAAACTTTTACAAGAACCTATGTTGCATATATTATTGAATAATATAGCTATAAGATGAAATTAATTGATTAACTTTTAAAGCAACCTTTTAAGTAAAAGTTATCCTACTAACCTAATCAACTTGTTGAAATAGTTTCTTCTATACAAAACTGATTCATATTCATCTCATTTATTGCTTAGAAACTAGGTCTATGTAGGTCTATATGAAATAGCGAAATAATTTGATGATAATAATATTGGATTATCCTGATAACATATAACTTATTTTCTTACAATTGTTTCGTTGGTTTCTTCTTGAAGTAACTTCACGAAAAGTTTAATTTTCATAATTATAGAACATGGAATAAAATCAATGTTATTTCATTTAAACTGTCAAGCAACATTAATTATTCATGAAAAAAAGGAAACAATACTCCTGTGTATTTATGCTATAATGTCAACGGCGTCATTTAAAATTGTATGTCAGATTTGATATTTACTACTGCATTAGGTATTTGTTCTTGTAATGAAGTAAGTATATCTAGATATACAATAAGATTAATTAGATAGTCTTGATATTCAGCATATCTCGAAATTTTCTTCATACTGAAATACCTTAGACGTTAAAAGGATTTCGTCAATACTCATGAAAATGAAGATAATAAAATGTGGTAACACGCAGGTTTAAATATTTGATCAAGCATGTATTTCACCTTTATAAGTATCCGTCTCATCGAAATATCTAAAAATGACACTTTTATTAGTATTAGCTTTAGAATATATTGGTTTACCAACATTTCGACTGAGTTTGTTAAGCATATGTGCATAGAATAAAAATTCAAACAAATCACTTAGTTTCTAAAATATGCTATTAACATTTATACGATTGTTTTGTAATCAGAAAAGTAAATCCGTAATTTTATCAAACGAAAATGTGTTAACCTGGTCAAGTGAGGACGAATGTTGTCTACGAAATAGAACTCCGAGAAACGTTGAATAACAACTAAGCGTATAGAATAACAATGACACAGAAAAATCTCAAAACGTTACTCTATAATGAGCTGTGAAGGGATTTCGTTTTCAAACCGAAAAAGGAAAATTATCGACAGCAATGGTTTCATGGTCTTATGTGCAACAAAGGCTATTCATTATGAATATTGAATGACCTCAATCCACGGAATTCTGCCAGGGGTTATATCTTTGTCTATGAAACTCTCATCTGAATTCGTGACACCCGGTAATTCTCCTTAAAAATAACCTTTATTACAACTTACCGCTACATAATATCGCAAAGTTATTCAGCCTTCTAAGCAGAAATTTTAAGACTTTAAAAGTCGTTATTCTGTGATCTTTATTTTTTAAGCCGAACTGATATTGCTTTTGAAAAGAACATACCATATTTCAGTCATCTAGTCTACCTACGTTTACGTAAGATAAATAGCAGCTAGAATACACATTTGTTTTTTGAGCTAAATAAATCTATTTCCTTATTTTGCAGAATTCTCCAAGACCACTAAGTATGAGTGATGAGATGATTTCAACTACAAGTCTTCTGATAGTCAACTTACTACTTGCGACATAAATATAACTAATCGAGGTATATTAAAGTATAATAGCAATGTAAACGGACCTCTCTAGCATTCTGATCCTTTTTCTAGAGGTACCCACAACATCAACTATAAATATCTTAATATCCTAATATCTTGTTAATTATATGCTTTGAAAGTTTTGAAGACTTATTAACGTCTTCTTTCCTAATCAAGAATATGAATGAAAGTTGCGTATTTCATGAGAAATATTATGGTCAAACAAACAGAAAGGTGATCGGATTCAACCTCATAGCTCGAAGATTTCGTGGTTGGACGATCAGAAAACAATAAAACAAAGCCAAATATTTACCCTTTGTATCATTACAAACAAAATACCTATGGTATACAGCTCATAATGACTACAGGCTAAATGACAGGGATTGTTGATTCAGTGCTCAAAAATGCATGTGTATATCTCTTACTATTATACAGTTAGTTCATTATTTGTTGAACTCCCTTTGTCCACTGACTCATCGGAGACATTATTATTAGCTTCAGCTTAACTACATATGTGTTTAGTTTGAACTAGGTCTTTCTGATCAATTAACAATTCTGAATCAATATTCTACCACGAGATTAATTCATATAAATATTTAAGATAGTTTTCAGTAAGCAAGTTTGTTTGTTTTCTGTAATCTGTTAGTCTCCCCTAAGTTCACAAATTCAAGAACAACAATGAAAGCGCCACTTTACTGAGCTGCTGGAATAATGATGAGGTAAAAATTGTAGAAATAAGACAAACACAAATCTGTAGACAGTTTTGAAATTTTCATTAGTTTCAGGAATTGATTTCTGTGCTGATGTGTATTGGTCGAAACTACTATTCGAACATTACCACTTGAAATTTTGAAGAGCAATGAACATTCTTTGTAAAGAACCTCGTACCTAACAACTCAGTATTTAAATGGTAACAAAATGTCGCTTTATTGGGTTATCACTCTATATGTAACGAGTTTTGTTAACTTCGTTTCACCAACTAAGTTTTATGGATAACATATCATTTTCAGAAACTCCTTATATGCTTATAACATTTTGGTTACATGAACCTGATTTTCTTAAAAATTTGTTCCATTTTAGATAAAAACAAAGTAATTTTGAAATGATTATGTTTTCATCTACAGTTAAATCTCATAAGTATTTTTCAAAACTGTCTGACTCAGGTACTCAAAAAACAGCTTATTAGTATTTCAGCTCATCCTAGTAAGTGATTGCTGAAGTATAAGAAACATTGGCATGTTTTTATGTGACATGTTAATCATAATCTGTATCACGAAAATCATTATTACCCTTCTTTTGTCAAATTAGATATTTCGCAAAAACACCAAGTACTAACTTGAGTTATCAATAGATATTACGAAAATACCAACGACGGATTGTCGAGTAAACGTTTCAACATTGTCTCATTTAAAAAACAAACTATTACATTGGTAGTATAACAAATAAAAATCAGCGGATACTATACAGCTATTTTATTTAATGGCTTGATCTACACACTAACCAACTATTAGAGATATCTGTTTCGTATGTAATGACTTGCTATTTTAGCGATTTGTTAAGTAGTGTCAAAGTGTCTATATTAACAGAACATTTTTTTAACTTTAAGTAACAAGTTATACGTTATCACTTCATTTGTAAATTAATGCAAATTCAGATCACTGTAATCTAAACTTTTCTGATGGAAATTTCAATATGAAAAGATACTTTTACTAGATAAGACGATTACTTACATGAATCCCAGACTGCCAATTAAATAATCTCCATATTAAACATGGCAAATTAAATAAAAATGCTTGTATCATTAGAATAAATGGAACCCATTGATAATAATGAATTTTTCTATTTTCACGTTCTGATATATTTTCGGGAATATTAATATCCTGAGTAGGTATAAAATATGTGCTTGTTACCCAACATACTGATTCAGCATATTCTTCTTGAGCGCGTGTAAATTCCGTTGGCACCCAACAGGCGATTGGTTTACCAATATACTGACGAGCCGATATGATAAGTGTGAAAATAATCAATAATAAAGAAGTAAACGTATGACTAAACCTGTCTGAAAAATCATCATCACGACGTAACTTTCCTGCATCTAGTTTAAATTTTGTAAGTCCAGCAAAAAGTGGGTATCCATAGTAGGATCACTTGTGAAGGTGGATCTGGTATGTGATTTAAATTAGTGCGTCTAGTCCTATATCATTATAATGGGTAGGAATACTATTCTTATTAGAAGAAAGCGATTTGTACTCTTGGAACAAACGGTCGGGTGTGAAATAGTAAAATTATATTCTCCATGTTATATTCTCCAGTATTTGTTGAAAAAATGTGTTTTCATCGATTCAACTGGAGTTAATTCAATAGTGATGAGTTCACATGACCCTGTCCCAAACAAACCACATTATCTTGATTTAATTTAAAATAGGTATAATTCAGTTACTTCTTTATCATTGGAATGTTTTCCTGTATATTCTATACAGCATATAAATATAACTTGCTTAAAGGGGAAAATGTAATGAATGATATCATTTAATCGCTAAGTTAATATATGATTGGTTGGTTTTATATTGGTTAGACATTCATAGCCTCAAGTGATTTGTTGATTGCAATGAAGCTTAGTAACACGTTTACGTTATTAGTTTTGTTTTGTGTCTTCCTTCGACGTTGTGCACCCTTTTGCTTGTTCATTTAAAAAATTTTCATGTTTTGATATACAGATATATTTAATTAGATACAAAAATGTAGGTAATTACAGATGTAGATCTATAGTTCATTTAATGTGATCAGTTGAAGAACTTCTGTCCAATCTTCGGAAAAATACATATCTAATCGAGTTTAAGTATGATGAACACATATGATATATTTTCTGATAGACAAGACAATCATGAATTCATGAATTTTTATTATCCTTGGACATTAGTATTTTGTTTAACTGACCTACTAACGTTAATAATCTCCAGTACATCAGTTTATATTTTAGGAAAACGCTAACTGTTAGTATTAATGTAAAAATATTCAGAAAAACATTAAAATTCAAACATATAGATAAGTGTTTAAGTAACCTCGATAATGTTGTACGCTGTATTCTTTCCTAAAATGCATCTGATTTCTTTTAAGTTAATACTACAACGTATGCAGAATACAATTCAATGTGAACTTGATTTCCCTTTTATATTTATTTTATTGCCAATAGAACTCTGTACTATTACGTAATTAAAAGTACTTTTGCAATTAGTTACTAAAGAAACCAATTTTGAAACTTATTGTTTTACGGAATCCATAAGTAGTTTTGTCACTTTATCCCTTTCTTTTGTGTACAAAGAAACCTTACATGAGCAACAAAATTAATAACCCACAAGCAAGAAATTCTGTAATAAGTATCTTTAAAAATGAAAATGTAATCTATATTAACTTCAGCTCAGATTACTTCATAATATTACCAACATACATACTACCGTATTTATTACAGAGTCAAGAACTATCAATCATGATTTATAATTTCTGTAGTCATATGTGATCAAACACTTAAAGTGACACAACAACCATTTAACAAAAACTGGCACTACCATTATTCTGATAATAACCTTTCATATGAACTCATCAAGTTTTTCTTTTCATTATTGTTTGAAAATTATTATGTTTAAACGACATCATTATCACTGATATTATAGTGACTATCTTAATCGATCGCGAGTTTCAACTAATTTTGACAGCAAGTAATTTTTATTTTGACCTACAGGATGAAATATTGATGAGAATTTGAGCAAATGATTCGGTGACCTTAAAAATGATTAGTGGAATCCATTATGTTATTAATGTTATTTAATATACTTGAATACATTGATTTTCGATAGTATTGAAGGTGGCTTCTTCAAAGCTTGATGTCGTTTGAATACAAATGATTCTAGTATGGACCAAAGAATAAGCAATAATTCCTATATATGAACACATTTTAAAAAGCGTGTGACCCTCCACTCTGCTACAGACAGTCTTATGTCAATTTTTAAGAAATCGCATTGGAATCACTGAATACAGGTATTCCATAAATATGAGAAAATATCTTTTCAGCACCCATAAAGTTTTAAGCAAAGCATGTGGTCCTTGATAATAGTTTGAGAGTATGTCGAAGATACTTTTGATATAAAAGTGAATAAATCAAAAACTTATATCACCTTGTGTTGAGATTACAGAAAAAATAACTCCTAAATGTATCATGAAACTTTATCCTGTTATTTGATGCGTGTAGTTAGCTACATTGAAAACATCCAACCACTAGAGAAAACCTAAAATAACCGTGCTACCGACCGTTCTGACTTCGTGATAAATTGCAGGTAAATGGTCTAGACTCTTGACATTCAGTTTCCTACAGGTGTATGAGATAACTGATATTAAACTAGCCGGTCATTTAAAACAAATTACTGAATATTTAGCTTTACATAATAATAAAAACTCTATGTTTTCAGTATTACTTAATTACATATGTTACCCTCATTTAGGAGGTTAGGCAGCCTATAAGCATTCTCCCTCCAAATCTGTTCTCAGCAATCCTTTCCAGTTCTTTCCAGTTGTTATTCATTCGTTTGATATCCGCTTTCAATTTCTAACACAATGTGTTCTTTGGTCTTCCACGTTTCCGTTTCCCTCCAGGATTCCAAGTTAGGGCTTACCTCGTGATGCAGTTTGATGTTTTCCGTAATGTATGTTCTATCCACTTCCAAAGTCTTTTCATAATTTCCTCCCCAGTTGGATGTTGATTTGTTCTCTCCCACAGTAGGCTGTTGCTGATGGTATCCGGCCAATGGATGTTGAGTATCTTGCAAAGACAGCTATTTATAAATATTTGTACCTTCTTGATTGTGGTTGTTGTAGTTCTCCAAGTTTCAGCTCCATACAGTAGAACCGTCTTGACTTTCGTATTAAAGATTCTGACTTTGATACTGGTTAACAGTTGTTTTGAGTTCCATATGTTATTCACTTGTAGGAATGCTGTCCTTAATTTGCCAATCCTCGCCTTTACGTCTTCATCAGATCCTCCTTGTTCATCGATGATGCTGTCCAGGTATGTGAAACTCCACATCTTCCACAGCTTCTCCATCAAGTGTGATTGGGATGATGTTCTCCGTGTTGTATTTGAGGATCTTGCTTTTTCCCTTGTGTATGTTGAGGCCTACTGCTGAAGAGGCTGCTGCTTCACTGTTTGTCTTGACCTGCATTTGTTGATGTGTATGGGATAGAAGGGCCAGGTGATCTGCGAAATCCAGATCATCTGGTTGCATCCAACATGTCCATTTTATTACGTGCTTCCCGTCGGATGTCGAGGTCTTCGTAATCCAGTCAACCATCAGAAGGGAAAGGGGGAGAGTAAGCAGTACTGTCTGACACCGCTCTTCAATTGGAATGCGTCTGTCAACTGTCTCTATCCAGCACTTCCTAGTGTAGTCCATCGAATGAATTCCTTATGATGTTGACGATCTTCTGAGGCACATCATACCGTTGAAGAACATTTCATAACGTCCTCCAATCCATTCTGTCAAATGCTTTTTCATAATCAAGGAAGTCGATGTATAGTGACGAGTTCCACTCAACTGATTGTACAAAGATGATCCATAGTGTCGCGATTTGATCTGTGCACGATCGATCTTTGCGGAATCCGATCTGATCTCCTTCTGGTTTTCCTCCATAATAGTTTCTTCTTCGTTCAGTAAATCTTGCAAGGCTCGGAACCTGTTGTTGAGAGCTTTATTGAATTCGTTGAGTTTGTCGGTATCAAGAAAGAAGTCTGTATTGGACCTGTGTAATGCTGTTTCCCCAGTTGTCTAGTGCGTCTTTAGCTTCATTTCCATCTTGGCAGCTATCAGCTAATGGTGATCTGAAGTTATGTTAACTCCTCTCCTGGTTCTCACCTCTTCTATTGACCTTCTGAATTTTTCAGTGATACAGATGTGATATAACTGGTTCCGTTTGGTGTGGTTCGGTGAGATCTATGTAGCTTTGTGTATGCGATTGTGTGAAAATATTGTGCCTCCATAACCAACTTGTTGAATCCAGATAGATTTGCAAAGCTCTTGCCATTCTCCTTCATATCTCCTAGTCCATATCCTCATATGATATCCTCATACCCGATGTTGTCTATTCTGACTTTGACGTTTAGGTCCCTCTTCAAGATGTTCAGGTCTTTTCCTGATCACTTCGCTACAACTGATTTCAGCCTCCCATAAAAGGGATCTTTATCGTTGTCATCACTATCGTTTGAGGGTGCATAACATTGAATAACATTGATTGTGATTCCCTCCTTCTTTGTTTTAAAGGATGCCTTGATGATTCTGGATCCATAAGTTTCCCATACAATAAGTGCTTTACGTGCTCCCTTGGACAGCATCAGAGTAACTCCCTCAATGTGTGGAGCATTTTTCCTCGTAAACAGAGTAAAACAGCATCTCACTAAAATCTATCCTTTCTTGTCCAGCTTGATTCCAATATGTTTCAGTGATTCTGAGAACATTCAGTTTGTATCTTCTCGTTTCCATTGCCATTTAGTCGGTCCTTCCGGTCTCCAACTTCTTCTCAATATTCCATGTATTTGTATTAATTTTTACTTTAGTTGTTAGTAGGGGCATGGGTCTCATGACCTTCGAAGAATTTCAGCTTTCACTTTGAGGCGTCATAATTCTACTGAATGAAGATCCTTCAACTCAGAGGGCAGAGTTTAGATGGTTTAAATTGTTTATTCTGGTTAGCTTTGTTAGCAAGGTTGTTTCCTACGGGCTGGGGTTGCTGACAGGTGTAATGTTTTTAGTATAGAGATACAAAAGTACTTCACTTAAATATTCAGTATTTCAACACTGTTAAGTCAATCGTACATGGAATTTTGAAGTTTGTCTATAATATTTTTTAATTCAACTATTTCCTTCTTATCTATTTGTGATCAACCATAAATTGTACGTAAACATTTTTACAACAGATAAAAATCAGCACATCATAAATGATCTACTTAAACAATATCAGAGTTCTTATAAAACATGGATAAATTTATGTATTATTTCATCATATTGCATTTCCAGCTATTTTCACAAACAAATTTATTCAAAGTTTTATAATGTGAGAATAAAATTTTCCCATCAATTACATTGCTTGTTTTTATTTTCCCACTGATGTTTATGATTGAGATTCATCAGTTTCTTTTCCTGGCATATGTGCATCCTGTTACGATTCCCTCAATATTGTCATTAATCACATGGATTATAAGTAGAAATGGATAGTGTCTAGGAGTGGAATACAGGACGTGCGTTTCATCCTATTCGGGACAACTCTGATGGATATACCTGCATTCCAGAGTTGATTATCACTCAGACACTCTAACCAAATACCGTTCGCTTTAAACACCATCACGCTATCAAAATGTGAGCATAACGCTTGTGACTTAAAGCACTATAGAGACAATTAACACAGGATACACGTATGCCGAAAGGGGCTGAACAATTTGTCACA